TTGGGGGTAGGGCAGGAGAGGCTGGGTATGGGGGGGCTCTGTGGGGACCTTTTAGGGATAGGGAATAGCCCGTTTGTCAGGGACGGAGAAGAGGGGGCTGGGATGTCTATGGGTGACTGTGAGGAAGGGAGGGGACGTCGTAACGTTCATTAATCCGAGGACCAAAACACCCCTTCTTGCACCCATGCAGAGATTGCAGTGCATTCTCTCGCTAGGAGAGGCTGGGTATGGGGGGGCTCTGTGGGGACCTTTTAGGGATAGGGAATAGCCCGTTTGTCAGGGACGGAGAAGAGGGGGCTGGGATGTCTATGGGTGACTGTGAGGAAGGGAGGGGACGTCGTAACGTTCATTAATCCGAGGACCAAAACACCCCTTCTTGCACCCATGCAGAGATTGCAGTGCATTCTCTCGCTAGCCTCACCCCCGTGTCACCCCCCTCCCTCCATCCCGGCCCTTTGGCATTGCCTTGGGCTTTGCCTTTACAGACGCCTGGCCCTGAGGCACGGAAGCATGCTGGAGATGGCTGGCCAGGCTGCAGCCCTGGGCCGAAGAGAAGGCCTAACCTAGCCAGTCTGAGCTTTGCAAGGCTGGGTGGCTGCGCAGGGCGATATCCCTTGAGGCAGCAGCTCCCTGCAGCCAGCTAATCCATGTTCTGAGATGGAATGTAAAAGCTGAGCATCTGGGTGACCCGCATGTGGCTCTCAGCAGTTTTGGGGTGAGATCCAGAGCACACGCGGCTTTGAGCAGGGGCATTCCTCTGAAGCGTGACTGTTTCTAGGGACAGGAGGCCAGGTGTGATGGACTGACTTCCGGATAGTGGAAGTGGGCAAGACAAAAAGCAGGTGGTTGGATCAGAAATTGAGACAATTGAGAAATTGAGACAGGCTGGAGGTGCGAACCTCAGGCCAAAGGGCTGGATGCGGCTCTCAGCTTGACTGAGGCCCCCCCAGCATTGGGGTGCTGGTGCTGGCACTCCTGCCTGCTGCCCTACTGCAGGGCTGGAGCACACAAAATCTAGTAGGCTGGGCCCCCCTAAACTCTGGTGTGTGAGGGGAACGTAGGGAGCATCTTTCTCCTCAGTTGGGGCCCACATCAGTGAGGGTTTTTTTCCTCCTCACTTGTGTGCAGCACCTGACTGATTTTTCTGTGGGTCAGTGCCCCCCCCAAAAAAAGGTTCCCCACCCTGAGGGTTGGTGACTCAGTCCTCTGATCTGGTGTGGCAAATCCTGCCATGTAAAGAAAATAGACCTGCCGTGTTTACAAGCGTCAGTCCATACATGGAATTCCCATCCTTCTGGAAATTACCAGACTTTATTCTTAACCCAAAACGGGAGGAGAAATGCAAATCTTGGCACTTTTTGCAAGATGAAATATTATGAAATATTTCTTCCTCGTAGAAAGAGGTTTTCCACTGTCGGAAAAACCCCTCAGTTCTTTTGATTTTATTTTCCCAAAAGAACACGATTGCAGTGTGGACGTAATTGAACCGTTTTTTTGGAAGAAACGTCATTTTTCCGAAAAAAAAACTCTAGTGTGTTTTCACGTGACATGAAAACAGCTTTCGTTTTTTTTGGAAAAACCGTCATTTTTCCGAAAAAAAAAACCTCTAGTGTGTTTTCACGTGACATGAAAACAGCTTTCGAGTGTGTAAAAAGTTGTTACGAGGAAGAGGGAGAAAAATTATTCTCCTTAACCTCCAAGGACAAGGAGAAATGAGCTTAAATCACAGCAGGGGAGGTTTAGGTTGGACATCAGGAAAAACTTCCTAATTGTCAGGGTGGGTAAGCAGTGGAATAAAATGCCTAGGGAGGTTGTGGAATCTCCATCACTGGAGATATTTAAGAGCAGGTTAGATAGATGTCTATCAGGGACGATCTAGATCAGTGGTTCCCAAACTTCGGCATCACGCCCCCTTTTTGATTTTTTGAGAAACCCTCATGCCCTCTTTTCTCCCCCTCCCCCCCAAAAATAGCAGCAAAACTTGAGCAAAAAAAAAAGTTGCCCTTTTGAAGTCTGCCCGAGGCACGGCTTTCTTGGGGGAGGGGATTGACGGGAGAGGTTGGGTCACCTTGCGCCCCCCTGGAATTTCTTCACGCTCCCCCAGGGGGTGCGCCCCCCAGTTTGGGAACCAATCTAGATTGTGCTTGGTCCTGCTGTGAGGGCAGGGACTGGACTGGAAGACTTCTCTAATCCCTTCCAGTTCAATGATTCTTATCATGCCTGAGCTGTCTGGCTGCGTGGGGGAATCCTGGGACGGTGCTGGAGCAACCCACTGCCCTGGCGTGGTGGTGTTAGCTGGGTGGTTGCCTTAATGGCAATGAAAACAAGCCCTTGCGGCCGCTGTCTCTCCTCTCAGCCAGGAGGAAGCACAAGCCATCGATCAGGAGCTCTTCACGGAGCATGGAGCTGGCGGGGCTGAGCTGTGCCACGGCCATTGCCAAGGTGAGCCCTGGGTCCTAGTGCTTCTCCAAATCTGGGGTTCCCCTGCTCTCGGGGAGCCCTCGTCCGCCCTGATCCAGCCATGACCTTCCATGGAGCGAAGGGAGGTCAGTGCATGGCCTGAAGGCAGCTGTGTGGCCCTTGGGCCTCCTGGAAGTGACAGATCCCGGGGACCCTGGGTTGTTAATGAGGCTCTTGTATCAGTTTGCCCTGGGAAGCAGCTTCCAGGGATTATAAGGCTGTATCTGCCATGGCCAAAGATCCCAACGCACAAGACTATACACAGAAGGATCCTCTCTCTCGCTCAGGCGTACCTATTACTGGGGCAGAGGCTGGCAGCTAGGCAGAGAGCAAGATGCAGCATGATAGCGAGCCTTATAATCCAGGCTGATTGCAAGCAGCACAATTACTTGAGGATTAATGGGGCCCTACACAGTCCTATTAAACTGGTGCCCCTATGCCCAACAGCAGGTGGGAGGATTGATAATTTTTGAGAGATGTGATTTTATAATCTTCAGCAACACGCTCATGAAATAGTTTTAAAACAAATTTTAAACTCAGGTCCTGTCGACTGACTGAGGCCAGGTCTATTCTGGTGGAGGAAACTGATGCAAGATACGCAACTCCAGCTATGTGAATTACACCCGTTTTCCGGGGCGGACCCAGAGTGGGAGGTTGATGGGAGAACCTCTCCCGTTGACTTCCCTTACTCCTCACGACTGCGAGGAGTTCCAGGGTCCTCGGGGGTGCCCTCTGCATTCTATTTAGCAGGTCCTTACAAGACCCACTAAATCAAACACCAGAAGATCGATCTCCAGAGCATGAATCCTTCCCAGAAGTATAATGTGCCCTGACAGTCTATACCTGGAGTTGGCAAATGGTTTCATTTTCACGTGAATGGCTCTTTCCCCAGTTAGATGTTCTGCCAATAACTCTGGCAGGCTTTGACTTTTCAGTTAACTAGATCCTCTCCCAACGAATCAGGCACAGAACAGGGACAGGAAGAGGCAGGTGGGTGGACATTAAGACCCAACGGTGCCCCAAATTTATGGGCGCCCCACACTGGTGCCTATTCTGCATATGGGTCAGGGACAATCCTGCCTTGGCAGTGGCATCACAGGCCCATCTCTATGGGGTCTGTTACGAGGCTCCGCTCCCTGTTACTCCATCTTGTGTTTCTACTAATTGCTATTTAACCAAAGCCTGTTCTTTTCTCTCCCCCATCCTCTAGGCCTACCCACCCAGCTCCTTCACCAAAAGCCAGCCCACGGTGCTGATTGTCTGTGGCCCGGGGAATAACGGAGGCGACGGCTTGGTCTGTGCCAGGCACCTGAAGATGTTTGTGAGTAGCGCTTGCAAAACGTGCCAACCCTGGAGACTTGAGTTCTCTTTGCCCAGCGTAGCTAGAGCAAAGGCAGCAGCTGAGCAAGCGTCCTGCGTGCCTATCGCCTGCCGCTATTACACTGGCAGCCTGGAAACCTCCCTGCTCCATTCAGATCTTTGCTCTTCAGCTGAGATGCACCGGTGGGGGCCTGCCTGTTCCTTTGGGGCGCACCAGCTTCCCTTTTTCAAATACGGGTTTTTTAATGAGCCACCCTGGGTGTAGTTCTGCCGACTCACCAGGGCAGCTGTTTAACCCAGCCCTGTGCACAATGGAGTAGCTGTGGATGGGGGGAGGGAGCCAGGAGAGAGGAGATGCTTGGGGGAATCTCAGGGACAAGGAGGCGGCGGCCTGCCTGTTCCTTTGGGGCGCACCAGCTTCCCTTTTTCAAATACGGGTTTTTTAATGAGCCACCCTGGGTGTAGTTCTGCCGACTCACCAGGGCAGCTGTTTAACCCAGCCCTGTGCACAATGGAGTAGCTGTGGATGGGGGGAGGGAGCCAGGAGAGAGGAGATGCTTGGGGGAATCTCAGGGACAAGGAGGCGGCTGCGGCT